AAACAAAACAAACAAACTAGGGTGGAAAAGAAGACAGCAAAGGGAGAAGCCGTCAATAGGAACAGAAACGAGGGGACGCAGTTTTCAGGGGCATCGTTTCCCCCCGCTGCGTTGGCAGTAGTAGGGAAAGAAGGTGAAGGTCTAGTTCATGCGGTAGGGTAGGGATCCACTCCAAGCAACTGGTACGGGTCGTACCACAATGGGATGGGCAGGTCTGGGCAACTGCCATCAAGAGCCTTCAGGATGGCCTCACGCCACGTCACTTGCGCCTCCTCGCAGAACCGCAGCTTCTTATTCAGCAGAGCAATGGTGTCCTGCTCAATGTCTGAGGACTGAGGTGGGGCACGGAACTCGCCTGGTAGTGCGACACAAAGAGACGTGGAAATGTCGGGTGCAAGCTTGCCGACACCGACGTTGTCAGCCATTGACGTCCGCAGCGCCTCTTCCGTGTCTAATCTTGCACGTTTCGCCCCACGCTCTTGTTCTTCCTCTCTTGAGGCCGACAAAACATACCGCTGCTCCAATGCCGAGAGTAGCGAGTTCCAGGTAGCTTGCCTATCTGCCGGTATCATGTCCAGGGCACGCAACCATCGGAGGTCGGTGCCACTGTTCCCTAGCAGGTCCCGAAGCCATGACTGTTGGCTGCTGTGGCTCCAATAAGGCAGTTTCAACCGCAGTATTTGCTCCACAAGGTTTATCAAGCCCCCAGCATCCTTCAACCGCACCAATGTGCCAACAAATCGACGCAACACCACCATGCCTCCACCTCCTTCAAATGCGTTTTGAATAGGTAAGCTCGATCTAACCAAGATGTTCATGATTGTTACAAAGTGATCAGGCATTTCAGATGTTTCGCAGAGGCGAACAAAGGCCAGTATCATGTGAGACCGCTCCTCCGGGAATTCAAGTGTTGGAGAGCCGCCCGTGATCTGTGTAAGTTTTGCGAGCCACTGCAAGTGCCTGTACTCGTCTACACATTGTTTTCCAGCAATAAGGGCCGGTGGAGCTTTCATATTTGATTTACTTGGCATCTTAACTGGAGCTTGCCCACGTGGAAATCCAATAAGGGGAGGGATCGGAGTGCCGGCATCCGGTGCACTGCCGCTTCGCGTGGCGTCTCGTCTCACCAGCGTGGCCTCTGCTTTGTTCACCGTCGTGCCGGCGGGACGAACCATTGGTGGCAGGTCCACTCCCGTTGACTCTATGCAGTAGCCCGCCCCCGAGCGTAGGTAGGTCTCAATCTTTATGCGACGTTCCTCTGCGGAGGGAAAGCGGACGTTTGAGGTCAGCTGCCCGCCCTGATAACGGGTGCCGCCTTTGCGCCAATCAAGGAACTTTGTGTTGTAGGTTTGCTCCGTCAACACAGTCGCCGGTATCCTGGACTCCGCCATCAAAAAGAGAATAAGCTGGCCGACAAATCCCTCCCAGCTCGGTCGGTCTGGCCCTGGGCGAAGCCTATCGTAGAGAAGTTTGAGCATGTCGCAGCAGGCCGCAAAGCAGATCGCCAATTCCCCTTTATTTCGCCATATAAATCGAATCTTGGTGCGCTCGTTTTTTTGCCCCTGCTGGTACTGGCGCATGTATTCTTGGCGAACCTGGGCAATGAACATTTCCACGGCCGTGCGGAAGTAGTCAATGACGCGGTGACGCCCCTCGGGAAATTCATAGTAGTTTGTTACGACACGGCGCACGACACTCCCAGAGCCATGCGGTATGTCAATGCAGCCGGAGTCGGGCTGCTCAAAGCGAAGGTCCGGGTTCAGCTGCAACGAGCGGAGACCGGGATACGGCGCCGACGTGGCGGTGGCGGTGGCGGCCGCGGAGCCCGCAGTAACGCCACCGTTACGCCGTGACGGCGAACGCCGAGTCACCGCCCGGTCTCCCACGCCCTCCTCGGAGGAGGTGGCAGAACTGCCACTGCCGCTGCCGCTGCTGCTGCTGCTGCTGCGCGTGGACGAGTAATACGACGAGTCATCCGAGCACGAACTAGAAACTGACTCGGAGGCCATATGCGCTTTCTCCTCTGCCTGCTTCTTGCGACCAAACACGTGTAAACGAAAAGCAAAAGCACACGAACCGAGTGACCGGGGAGGCAACAGCAACACCACATCGAGAGGGACAAATCCCCCCCCCCCCCAAAAAAAAAAAAAGTAAGTCAAAACTATTGTTAGACACTTCTTCGCTGCCCCTCTCAGGCCTCTGAAAAGGTTCCCGCTCTGCCCATCAATTCTGTCAGACTATTTGCAGTCCCCTGTGCCCATCCACACCCTCCAGGAACACACACTAAAAAAAAAAGCCACAATTATCTCATCAGTGTGATGTGGTCTGCGAAAGAAGTATGCGCGCCATGCGACGCTGCTCCTTCAGCCGAAGCAAAAAGCGGCGCTCGGCGAGCAGGCCACCCTTATCACTACTCCGTGTGATAAATGCTGGCGTCAATTGTCCACCCGCAACGCTGCCGCCTGGTACAACTTCAGCGCCAGCAATGACATCGCGGAGGACCGCAGCGCACACTGCCGCCAGGTCCCCCTCGTCCCCCACGCAGCAGAAGGGCGCTAGGGCGGCGCGGTACAAGAGCGACATCCTCAGCGCATCGCAGTGAAAGGGGGAGAATTCCCCATCAAGCGCCAGTCGTGCCATGACCTGCATCAACGGGGTCAGGCGTTGGTCCTGCATGACGACCCCAAAGTCCAACGCCGTCATCTGTCCCCTCCAGGTCACTTTTTTTTTGTCGTTGGTTGCTGTCCTTTTTCTTCTTCGCCTTTGGGTTTCATATACACATGAAGCAAGCAGCAACGATCCTGCAGCTCCATCACCGCCCACGATAGCGCCACCACGGCGACAAGCAGCTCTCCCAAAAGAAAAACGCGGAAATGTACTGCAGAAAACTTTGAATTCCGATAACACAACAAGAGGAGAAAGGGAGAATATTGGCTCGATATTAAAGGAGCTGCCGCATCACGCCAATCCACCAGCGCCAGCAGCCCCATCGTCCGCCTTTGGGGGTTCGAGGTGCATCAGCAGCTGCGTCTCCATCGTCGCCGCATCCTCGTGCAAGTAATCTGTCGCGCAACGGGCCACTTCCCACAGTCTGACCGACACCGCTTGTGAGTCGCAGAGCCCCAGTGCACACAAAAGCTCCGGGTACAGAGTCAGCATTGTTGCCCGATTGTCGGGAAATGAGAGAAGGTTCGCTATGATCATCGCACAAGGCACAACCGCGTACATGTGCTTCAGGGCGCATCCAACGTCCCTAGACAGTACAGGGGCAATGGCTGGAGTTTCTTGCCTTCGTGATGTCACACTAGGTTCACCACCTAGCGCTGGAGCGGAGTTCACCACGCGACGCACCTTTCTTGAGGCCCGTTCCACAACCTCCATCTTCAGTACACGAAGAAGTGTCTCAATGGCGAAGAACACAACGCGACGTGACCTCGCAAGTTTAAAGTGCAGCTTGGGGTGTCTAGAGAGATTGACGAAGAGGTAGATAATATGCTTTCTCACCTGTGGTGACAGCTGCCGCAGTTCTAAGAGATCTTGCAACGCATCGAAGAGGCGGTCCTCGAAGACCAGAACGGAACTCACATGAGGGAGTTCCGAAACACGCCTCGCCAACAATATGGCCACGTGATTCAATTCAGCGTGTTCCCCATCGCCGAGTGCAGCTACCAACACGTTGACTGTGCCAGCATCCATCACAAGCAACTCATCCAGCGCCAAATCCAATCCGAGCAGCCGAAGATACACCAAAAGAGTGCGTTGACGAAGTCGTGCCCCCAACGGCGTCGATATCGACTGGGAAAGAAAATATTGTAGCGTCGATAATAGCTGGCAATTTCGTCGTATTTCGACCTGCTCGTGGGGCTTTGTATTCTCTATGCAACGCGAAATAACCTGTACGCACCAAAGCTGCTTCGCAACTGTGACCTTCGGCGCCGTTGCCTGGCCAAGAACGTGAACAAGCCTGCTTAAGTCCCACGGATACGGCTTAGCCTCCCCGTCCCACGGGTTCCGCCACTTTTCACACTTTGCAAGTTCCATTTAAGGGCTCTTTTTCCTCTCCCTTTCCGTCGATGACGCCCTTCATGCATGAAGAAAGAGGGATAAAGAGAGACGGGGCGGGGGGTACAGGCATGTATGTAGGTCTGTAAATATGCAGCGTCCGGGGGAGGCTCGTGCAATAAGGGAAGTGGAACACGGCCGGCGCCTCCCTTTTCCCTCGATGAAACAAATCCACTCCTTTGCGTCTACATGTACGCCTACTGAGAAGTGGCGCTCCAACTCTTCTCAACCGAGGCGGAAAAGTATATATATATATATAAACAACGACACGCCCATCCATGACTGTGATCATATCACACGAAGAAGTGGCTCCAGAGAGTCGTACTTGTAATGTGTGTGTGCTTTTTAACTTTTCTTTTTATTTTTTGTTTTGCTTCCCTTCAGGGTCACAGGGTCACGACACGCATCCCTGCGGTCTCCGGATCATATACAGTTAGCTTCACCACCGCACCGGCCCCTTGAATCGCCGCGGTGAAATCACTCTGTCTAGTGACGAGGGTAGCACCCACGTGAGTGACGATGTGTCCGGGGCGAATTTGGGCTTTCGCCGCGGTTGAATTTGGTGCCACTTCCACGACGACAAGACCCTCCAGTTCATCGCCGCCGTCCCGTAGCCGTAACCCCAGCGGTCTGACGAACTCCGCAGCCCCAGTGCAGCTCTCGCTCCTGGATGGCCTTACCATGGGCGGGGCAGAGGTGCCATCCTCCACGGCCCGCGCGGAGGAACCGATACTCCCCATCTGGGCGATGGCCCGTTCCACGCTTTTAAGTCGCTCGTGCAGCGCATCCACCTCAATTCGCGGCATAGCTTGCCGTTCCAACATTTTGATGCGTTCCACACACAGTTCACACTCCGCCATCGCACGGTGCGTGACTTCTAGGGGTTCTGTCGTTAGTAGCTGAAACCCAGTCGATACGTAATCACTATAGCCCTCCACCATTTTGTACAATGCCTGCTGCGAAGAAAGGGCCACCTGATGCACCCCCGCCTTGGCGCGCTCGACCTCCGTATTCATTGACTCAAGCCAACCCATACGCAGCGAGTCCAACTCTTCTCGCGTCTGCTCCACGGTGTCGCGCAATACACGGTCACGAAAAGCCTCCATCTCGGTGGAGGCGCTCGTTTTCATCGCCCGAAGTTTCTTGGAGCTTGTCGCCATGGCGATATCGTTGATCATCCTTAAATTCTCCGCATACTCATGCAGAGCCTTCTCTGCCGCAAGAACATCACCAGCCTCGGCACTCAAACCTACCGGGTTCGTCGCATTGTGCGTCGCCAGCTGCTGTTGGGGCGGTATTGCGGCAGCCACCCCTCGATCAGCGAAGGTAGGCGGTGCCGCACTCTCAAAGGGCGCGGAGCGCAGCTCCTGCTTGAAAAGCTCGGTTTCGTTGGCGTGCGCCACAAGCAGCGTGAGCACGTCAAGGAGATATGAAGGGCACGTTCCGCTTTTTTGCAAGAGATCAAACTTGCGATTAAGAGCCGCGGTCATGTTCTTTTTGTCCTGTTTTTTCTTTGCTGTAAGACCCTCTTCCTTCCGTGTGTGCACCGGGGCGGGGGGAGGTCTCTTCCCGCGCCAAATGGAGACGCGGGCAGGAAAGCGCGAATGAAAAAAAAAAAAGCTGTGGAGGAAGCAACAACAACAACAAAAATATTAATAATAACAATAACAGTAGTAATAACAATAATAAACACAACCCATAAATTACAGAGAACGGGCATGCCGCGACAACTCTGCCACGCCCCGCGCGCCAAGAGACGTGCACCTCCGTTGCTCATTAGCTTTCGCTAGAGAGCTTCAATGTACAGTTTGATTTTGCTCGCACCTTTTCCAACAGCAGCTGGTACCTCTCATTAACTTCTGCGTCTGGAGAAGATTCGGTTTGGACACGATCCTTAGCTATAAGGGTGAACGGTATCTCCCGCTCCTGCATCATGTCGAGTAGGAAGCACAGGCCCTGCTCCGTCACCCGTGTTCCGCTGATGTCTAGGAGCTCAATCTGCGACGCCAAGGGCGAAAAACGCAGTACGTAAGCCAAGAACTTAACGGAGCTATCATCCACAAAACAGTTACCCACGGCGTATATGCGCTTGAGCTCGGTAAAATGGTAGTTTGAAAGCGCAATGACAATGGGAAGTAGCGGCAGGTTGGCAATTTCCAGGTCCTCCGAGGTGGATGTCAGAACGGTGAGGAAGTTGTCTCGATCGTTCGCGTCCAACTCACGTGCAAAGATGCGCAGCATTCGTTCGATTAAACTCCTGGCCCTCTCCGCAGCATTTTGCACCCGCTCGAGATGTGCGGCATAGTATGAAAGGCGCCTCCGCGTGGCCGCGGCTTCCCGCATCAGCTCTGAGACGGTCTTTCGATCTCCGTTGCCGTACATCCCCACCTCGCGACTCACCGATTGCGCTTTACCTTCCTGCGGCTGTGAGAGAGGTGGGGTCCCAGCCTACGCTATGCTCGTACCTATACCCCCCTTCCCACCCCGCAGCAAACATGTACGTGGGGCGCGCGTGGCAGCAGAGCTCCAGCGCGATGGCGGGGTCAGAGGCCCAAAAGAACGCAGATACACGCAAAAAAAAAAACAAGAGGGAGTAGATAAAATAATCTTCTTCTGTGCAGAGAAAGATGCACACACGCGCACGCGCACGCGCACGTACGCCCAACGATCCGAGTGAAAGAAATCACGCGGGTTGCGGCGAAATGAAGCCGTCGGAAGCGGCAGATGCACTTTCCGGTGACCATTCAAAAGGCGCCGAGCGAACTACAACGCCCCCATGGCAGACGCCGCTACCCCAAGTCGTAGGCAGGCAGTAGTGGGACATGTGTGCAGCCGGCATTCTGCAACGCACCCAGCACACGCCTCCACATAAACAAAGACACACACACACATAAACACAAAATAAAAAAAAACGCCTTTACGCATGTGTGTGTGTCTTTGTATTTAACGCTTTCGCTTCTTTCCGGCCACCGTGTTCTTGGGGCCCGCTTTCCCTTGCACGTCCTTGAGGTGCACCTTGAGGTAGTCGAGGTAAATTGTCTCACAGTTTCCGGCACCGTCCTTTACCTCCAGCGTGGGCGCCTTCAGGATAATGGTCCAAATGTCGTCCTTCACACGGTAGACGGGGTACGCCACACCGTCGTCTAGTACATCGCAGCACGAGAGCGACGTCGCTGGTGAGGATGGCGGCAATGAAACACAAGGGAACATCATCTTTGTCGGTCTAGTGGACAGCTCCGCCGCAGCCCCATCACCACCACCATCCACGCTAGTCTTCTTCTTCTTGTGAACCGATGGAGCCGGTGCGAAGACACGCAGCTGCGACGTGACGGGCGACTCCGCCAGTGTTCGGTCCATGGCGACGTCAAAGATGTCCCACAACTCCTCTTTTTGCCCCTCGCTGAGGCAGCAGACGGATTCCAACTCCGCCAGCGTCGCCGCAAGAGCAACGCCGAGCAAGCTCTCGCGGTACATGGGCTTAAGGCACGCCGCTACACTTTACAGGAAGAAAGGAGTAACATCACACACACAACGAGGAAAAAAAAACGGAAGTAGAGAAGAGAGCCTATACCACGTGGAGACAAAAAGTACAGAAGCCCCGCAGTACGCACTACAGTGGTTCCCCATTACACCTCCTTTTGTAAAGGCGCAACCGTCTTCCTCTTCTTTCCCCCCCCCTGGTCCTGCGCTTTTTTGTCCTAATGTTACCTTTTCCTGCCTGTCCAGTTCCTTCACTCATCCTTCTCTGCCTCTGCGTTTCCTTTTCTTTTTCTTTCGTTTCTTCCCTCGGTCACGACGACGCCTCAGCTTGTGGCCCAGTCAAACCGTAGGCCTTCTTGACGTACTGAAGGCGCTCAAGCGCCACCTTGGACTGCCTCGCTGCGGCTTCCTCGCTGGGGAGCCTCGCTGCATCGCCCTTCGCGTACCCTACAAGAGACTGTTGGGCTTCGTTTCGCACGTTGAGTACAGTGCAGGCCCAGAGAGCCTGCACCAATGTCGCCCCGTCAAGAGCGTCACGGTGGGCAGCCAACAGCTGGGTACAGATGTGAACAAGCTCATCGCTTCGTTCCTGTACAGCGGCAAAGCTAGCGAGAACGCCAGCGGCGTCAAGAGGACTAACATACCCGCCCTGCTTCACAATCGATACAAAGCGAGACGCAAGCAACGGAAACAGTTCACCGTCAAAAAGGTCAAACGAGCCAAGAGCGTTTAATGTGAGATGAATCTCGTCTGCTCGGAAGTCAGCTGCCACTTTGCAGGCTCGCTCTGCGAGGGCGCCGAAGACCTCCTCTGCCAAAACATTTGCGCGGTAGTACGCGTCACATGTCTTTGCAATGGATGTGGGATCAAATGTCCCGCCCACAGCTGTTACGCGTTCCCCACACGCAGTAAAGAGCGGTGACGACGCCCTCCCTGCTTTTACCAAGCATGCAACCAGGGATGCCATGAGGGGGGCTGGCAAATCGGTCAGCTCCTTCATCAGTCGTTCCTCCAGCACGCTGAAGAGGGAGTCATCGACAAATCCAACCTCGGCAAACGCGTCAAGGATGGTCACGGGCACAAGTGCGGGGCCTTGTGTTGCATGACGAACTGCCTGATCACGCAAAACAAGAAAGAGATCTCTGTGAAAAAAATGAACACGTGCCAGTGCATGGGCAACATTTGCTGTATGCGCCACAAATGTGCGAGGGTCTTTCATGACAATCGTGGCCCGATCGCAGAGAACTTTGTAGAGTTCCTCATGCTGCACTTGCGCTCGTCCGTAGGCGTTAAGGAGTACAGCACACGACACAGTGTCCAAGGTCGGCGCCAGCTTGATGAGGGGACGAATGTAGGTAAATAAAACCTCATAGAGGAGTGGTGATCGCAGCACCAGACAGGCATGCACGATGCGGGCCAGGGATGGCGCATCCATCGCCTCCGCCGCCTCGCGAGAGAGGCTGCGCTCCACCACGGCGGTGAATGGTTGCCCCTTAGTGGGGGAGATGCGCAGCTGCGTCGCGGCGTGGCAGACCGTCCCGGCCACGCCTGGGCTCCAGGCAGTCTTGATGTCGTCTAGACTCTCAGATTCAAACAGGTGACGGCCGTGCAAGACGAGCTCCTGCCTTCGCTCGGACGCAGCTAACTGCTGCTGCGCCTTTTCTACGGCCACAACAAATGCCTGCGTCGACATACACCGCATCCGCATGGAGTACGGCAACAGTCCAGAACTCACAGCGCAGCGCCACATCTGCGGAGGCAATCACACAGGCACCCCAAAATAAACGCACGGAGCCGCAAAAAACGTGCCCGGGGGGATAAGGGGCCAGGTAGCCACTGCGTACGCGACTTTCCAAAGTAAGTGAAAAAGAAAAAAGGAAAAAAAAAAAGAACGTATGCAGCACGAAGGCAGAAAAAAGAAAAAAAACGGCAACAACAACAACGACAGAGGGACGGCAGCGGCGGCAAGAAGTATATATATATATATATTACAAAAAATACTTCTAAAAGCTCTTCTCGTTTTTCTTTGCTATGGTTTTCTTGTTTCCAAAGGTATACAAAGAAAAGACAGGGATTGGGGAATAAATTTAAGAGTACAAAATTACGGACAAAGCCGCAGTGAGGCAGCAAACATACACACACGTAAATAAAAATAAAAAGCGGAAAAAAAATGTCACATAAGTCATAGAAGTACAGTTGTTTGCTGTTATTT